TCCAATGACAAAGAATGGAACACTTATATGAAGAATTCGACAAAGTGCAGTAAGTTGTGAAAATGTGACAAGCCAAGGGGCTTGGATTAGGGCAATTAATTAGGTGGAGAAGTGATTCGAGAGATAAGGGTTGGTGTAACAAGGTTATGTGTACAGATTTAACTTGGCCTCAATTTTCTGTCGTTGATGAGAATAGTACTTTCCTTCTGGTACAGGGATGACATCTTTCATTTCGTGCTTTTAAGAAACAAAAGAAATATGTGTTCGTGCACCTGCTGTTTTTCAAGTGTCTTTAACTCCAAATAGTTAATATGTCAGAGTGACATATTTTGGAATGGTGTGTTCTGAATTCCTTCAATGTGATTATTAATAAAAAGGAAAAGGAAAAAATAGCATATATTTGTCCCAGTTGTTGCTAAACTGTTATAGTTAATAGCCAATATTTATTTTTAATTAACAACTCTTACCAATCTTGGAATTGCACAATTTACATTAAAACCGGCATAGGCATTAGAAAGTGTCATATTAGCCTGGTTTTAATAAAAAATAAGTCGGCCGGGCATGGTTGCTAACGCCTGTGATGATGGGCACCACCTGACTGTCAACTCGCTCTCTCCAGCCTGCCTGCCGCTTCCCTGGAGGCCCGGGGCCCGTCCGTGGAAGCCCGTCACGGCAGCCACAAGCCCCTGGGCGGGCGCCTAAGGTTCTCACCCCCACACGGAGTGGGCCCAAAGCTCCGGACCTAGGCGGAGGGGGCGGGGGCGACGGCGGGGTCTGGCCGGCTTCTCCCGGGGCCCCTCCCACGCCGCGCGCGGGCCTTTCCGTTTCCCCAGCCAGCCCTTGCCTGTCAGCTCGCTTTGTCCCGCCCGCCTGTTGCTTCCCCTGGGATCCGGGGCCGCCCCGTGGAGGGTCGGCGCGGAAGCCCCAGCCCCCTCGGCCGGTGCCTGGGGCCCTCACCCCTACGCGGCGCAGGACCGGAGCGTCGGAGCTAGGCAGGGGCGGAGTCTGGCCAGCCCCTTGAGAGAGAAAACCGGGGAGCCAGCTTGCTGGGAGCGTTAGGCCCCCGCGCGCCTACCAAGCCGCCTGCGCGCCTCCCTGCCTCCCAAGCCGTCCCTTTTCAGCTCCCTCTCTCCTGCCGGCCTGCCACTTCCCCTGGGGCCCTGGGCAGCCCCAGGCTCCCTGGGCAGGCGCCCAAGAACCTCACCCCCATACGGAGCGGGCCCGGAGCAGAGCTCCAGAGATAGGCAGGGGCCGCCTCTGGCGGCTTCTGGAAGGGAGAGAGGGCCTGGGAGAGCCGACTTGCTTGGGGCTTTGGGCCCCCAGCCCCCACCAGAGCCGCCTCTAGGCCTCCCTACCGCCCCAGCCCTTCCCTATCAGCTCACTCTCTCTCGCCTCACTGCTTCTTCCCCTGGGGCCCGGGGCCGCCCCAAACTTCCTCGCCCGGCGCCTGAAACCTTCGCCCCCAACCCGGAGCGAGCTCGGAGCTCCGGCGCTAGACAGGGGCCAGGTCTGGCCGGGCCCTCGAGAAGAGAGAGAACCTAGGAGAGCTGGCTTGCTGGAGGCTTTGGGCCCCCAGCCCCTCCCAAGCCTCTTGCGGGCCTCCCTGCCGCCCAGCCATCCCCTGTCAGCTTGCTCTCTCCCGCCGGCCTGCCGCTTCTCCAGAGGCGCGCGACCTCCCCATGTTGGCCCGCCCCGACAGCCCTAGGCCCCCTGGGCCAGCGCCCAACGTACTCACCCCCACATGGAGCGGGCCCGAAACTCCGGAGCTAGACAGGGGCCAGGTCTGAGCGGCTTCTGGAGGGGAGAGAGGGCCTGGGAGAGCTGCCTTGCTGGGCGCTTTGGGCCCCCGGCACCTCCCAAGCCGCCTCTGGGCCTCCCTGCCTTTTCAGCCATCCCCAGATCATCAGCTGGCTTTCTCCCCATGAGGCCCTGGGGCTAGCCAACTGCCCCTGGGCCGGTGCCTGTAGCCCTCACCCCCACCCAGTAATCCCAGGACTTTGGTGAGGCCGAGGTGTGTCGTCAGGAGTCCGAGACCAGCCTGGCCAACATGGTGAAACCCCCGTCTCTAACTAAAAATACAAACATTAGCCAGACGTGATGGTACACGACTGTAATCCGTTACTCAGGAGGGTGAGGTAGGAGAATCACTTGAACCTGGGAGGCGAAAGTTGCAGTGAGCTGAGATGGGGCCACTGTCCTCCAGCCTGGGCGACAGAGGAAGACTGTCTCAAAAAAAAAAAAGGTCAATATCACCATTTTATTTATTATCACTCATAACCATTAGGCAATGCATTTAGACAAGAAAGTCAACTATTTAAAACAACAGGAAAAAATTCTGTGAGTTTTTCTGCCTACCTGGAAAATCAGAGAGGAAAAAAGATGAACAGAAATGACAGAATTTAATAAGGAAATACAAATCAGTCCAAAAATAAAAAACGTTTTGTCTGTAAAACATGGTCAATAAGAAAACATAATAAAAGAAACCTAAATATTTTCCCAAAATACAGTAATAAAAAAGAAGACCTGGAGATAAACTCTATGAAATGTGTGAAAACTCTATAAGGAAAATCAGAAACTTACATAAGTAAATTGTTTTGAAAAGTCAAGGGACATGTCTCCTTTAACATGTATTTACAATTTTTCATACATCTTATTGTATCTAAATATTTAATGTAATTTTAATAGGCTTGCATTAGAACTGGAAATGAAAGTGTATTTTGCATTTGGAATAAGAGAACACACAGGTTCTCTCCTGTAAAGTCAAGTCCCTCCTTCTCTGCCTTTCCCTACTCTGTGCTTCGGCAAGTCTGGGGAGTTAAGTGCCACTTACTTGATGACGTATCTACAGTAATTACTTGGAATTCATCTGTATAGATTTGTCTTATATATCCCGATTTTGTTTCACATTTGCCATGTTTTAAATATTACCCAGTTTTATTCAACATATAGTTGCCCTTTCTGTTTTCAAAAATCTTCCGTTTTTGCCTTGCAAATTGCATCCCTTATTCAATCTTTATGCAGGTTAATTCACAGTTGACTTTGAACTTGATTGTCCTTACTCGGCATGTTTTATTTTATAGAACTTTATAACTTTCTCAATACCTGCTTCTATATATGCCTTATTCTGTGTAGATATTAAGTGTTTAGCAGTGACTTTTTTTGAGGTAAGGTCAATTGTTGAATATCATACAGTAATTTTTAGTTATTTGGCAGCGTTACTAAATGGGTTTTGCGTTTCAATTTCTCTTGGTGTTTACTGCACAAAAAGCTAACACAATTGTGCCTCTTTTTACTAGTCAAAACTTTTGAAGCTTTTACTGTCCCAAATTTCTAAACCTCAAATTATGTGAGGCCTTTTAGTCTCATTCCTGCCTGACTCTAGTATCTCACCATCACATATGGTATAAGGTTTCTTAACATTCTTACATTTTAAGAATCCTATTCTTTAACAAAATGCCGCGAAGCCACAGGTATCAAATGTTTACCCAAATTTTATTTTACTTACATGCCACATGAGTATATTTTGTGAGACTGCCTATTTGAAATTTTCTAAGATCCACTTTAACCAGCCATACTGATGTTTTCTGAACTTAAAACTGGAAGGTTACACACCTCTCCTGCTTGTAATCCAATCTTCACTTCCATACGTAACTCTTAACTGACATAACTAGTTTGAAATACAGCCTCGCTCATGTCACCCAGATGAGTGCGGTGGCGCGATATTCCCTTACTAGTAACTGCCGCCCCCCATCATCAAACAACTCTCCCACCGCAACTGCGCAAGCAGCTGGGACTACAGGCCTGTGCCACCAGGCCCGGCTAATTTCTGTGGGGACAGAGTCCCAACTATGTTAAACTAGATTTAAGCGACCCTCCCATTTCGATCTCAAGTGGAAGTTCTGGCAAGTGTGAGTCACCACACCTAGTTAGGTCTGTATAATTCTAAAGCTTAAGTACCTTTAAAACGTCAAACTAATGGTTGACCCAGTGCTCCATGGAAATTCCCTCATACAATGCGGAAGTGCACTTTGACAGGTGTTGCTTCTGACAGGCGCTTGCTAAGATGACTGCTTAACGACAGTAGTCATATGTTTAGTAATGCACAGCCTTCTTTGAGATAGTATGTGGCTCTGAAAAGAGCCTTTTTTTTCCCTGAGGTCACAGATGTAATCCGGAGAAATTACTTGCTTTGAGATTTATGGTGGTGACTCTCAGTCTTCTTGGGCAGCAATACAGCTTGAATGTTGGGCAGGACTCCGCCCTGTGCAATCGTCACGCCACCCAACAGCTTATTGAGTTCCTCATCATTGCGGATAGCTAGTTGCAGGTGTCGGGGAATAATGCGAGTTTTTTTATTATCGCGAGACGCATTGCCAGCCAGTTCAAGGATCTCTGCGGTTAGATACTCCAACACTGCAGCCAAGTATACTGGCGCGCCCGCCCCTATCCGCTCTGCATAATGGCCTTTGCGAAGCAGGCGGTGGATTCGACCCACAGGAAACTGCAAGCCCGCCCTAGAAGAGCGGGACTTAGCCTTGGCTCGCACTTTTCCTCCCTGCTTCCCGCGTCCAGACATTTCTTCAAAGCAAAATTGCAGCAACGGAAAAATGACCCTCCGAGGGTCGCTACGGGGCCTATTTATAGTCTAACTGAGGTTGGCATGTGCTCTCTGATTGGTTGATGATCGTTCTACCCAATCAGAGAGTCTTACTAGAAACGCCTTATTTGCATTCACGCCACTTCCCATTGTCCAATCAGATTTTGGATACCCAACAGGCCATTTGAGGACCGTGCCTATAAATACCGCAGTTTTGCGTCTCCGGAGTTATCCGTTTACTGGGCGTGCTTCGGAGCTAAGGTGCTGAGGAGAAAAGAGCTTGTAACACTCTAAAAGAGCTGCTTAACACTCTAAAAGAGCTGTAACACTCTAAAAGAGCTGTAACACTCTCTAAAAGAGCTGTAACACTGAAGAGCCGTTAACACTCTAGAAGTGTGCGGTCAGCCATGCCGGAGTTGTCTTCTAAAGGAGCCACCATTTCTAAGAAAGGCTTCAAGAAGGCGGTTGTGAAAACACAGAAGAAGGAGGGCAAGAAGCGGAAGAGGACCCGCAAGGAGAGCTATTCTATTTACATCTACAAGGTGCTGAAGCAGGTCCATCCGGACACTGGCATATCTTCCAAAGCCATGAGTATTATGAATTCCTTCGTCACTGACATCTTTGAGCGTATAGCGAGCGAGGCATCACGCTTAGCTCACTACAACAAGCGCTCCACCATTACTTCCAGAGAGATTCAGACAGCAGTGCGTCTGCTGCTGCCGGGAGAGCTGGCTAAGCATGCCGTGTCTGAGGGCACTAAGGCTGTCACTAAGTACACCAGCTCCAAATAAGTCTGCCTAGTAAACGGAACCCAAAGGCTCTTTTCAGAGCCACTCAAATACACTGAAAGAGCTGTGCACTTCATAGCTGGGCAGTGGCTCATGCTTATAATCCCAGCACTCATTTTGGGAGGGCGGTGTGGCTGGTGGATCTGAGGCTGATTAGCTGGGTGTGGGGGCGGGGGCCTATAATCTCCGCTACTGTGGAGGCTGAGGCAAAATCATTTAAGCGTACGAGGGGTGCGTTGAGTCGAGATCGACATTGCTATTCCATCCGGGGCGACAGTGAGACTCCGTCTCAAAAGGTGGACCAGGCGTGGTGGCTTAGGCCTTTAATCCCAGGCGGGCGGATCATGAGGTCAGGAGTTCGAGACCAGCCTGGGCCGACATGGTAAAACCCCATCTCTACTGAAAGTACGAAAAATTAGCTGGGCGTCATGGTGAGCGCCTGTAATCCCAGTACTCGGGAGGTTTGAGGCAAAATTGCTTGAACCCGGGAGGGAGAGGTTACAGTGAGCAAGGATCGCTCTACTGTATTCCAGCCCGAGTGACAGTGGGTCTCAAAAAGTGGATGGGGCGGGTAGGTCGACTAGTTAAGACTGGTAGTTTTGTCTAAGCCACTTGCTGACTGACACTGGGAAGTTTAAGGTTAGCAGTACGTATGTAAAGGTGCAAAGCGCAGGGATGTAGACAACTTGCACAGTGATTCCAAATTTTAAGACCCTACAAAAGGAATAGTTGGGAGGGAGTTCGTTTTTGTGTCGTAGGTAAGTCAAGATACGGAAATGATTTGAGGAACTCTGGCGAACCCACCAGTCTGGTTAGCAGGATTGAAACGAATTTAAAGTGTTCTGTAATTTTCTTCAGTTTATAATGGTTTCAATTGTGTTACTGGATTTTGGACTACATTTGTAAGCTGACAAGCATCAAACTAATATGAGCTGCCTTGAAAACGGATCAAATATTACCTGGAAACCTGTGGTTAGCTGGGATTCTCAATTTGTTTAACTCATGTTTAACTTTTATCTTGCAACGAAATTTTGGATGCGTATATGCTTTAAACAGTACCATTTAATAGGATATATCAATGTACAGCAAGACCTATTAAAATAAGTGCTTCCACACTTGTGTGCACAGTAAGACAGCCCCTACACAACCCCTGCATGCTTTAGCTGGGAAATCTTCCAAGGAGGTGACAAGTGGGCGGGGAAGGGGCATCTTTGCCCACCTTGTATTGGCGATGGGATCATCTGTAATCAGGGATTCCTGCTTTTCTAGCACCCTGGAAAGCAGCAGGTGTCACACAGCTGCCAAATAAACTTGTCAAGTTTGTGACCACTGTCAATAGGTTACCCTGATTACCCAAGGACTTTTAGGATTATCTGGGCAATCGATAAGTAGGAATACAAGCAAATAAAAACTCTTTTCAGACCAAACCTCATGTAGCTTTTATATTAAATGTATTTTTGGCTGCAAATAACAGGAAACGCTAGCTAGACTTGTTGAGATAATAAGCAATGCCACCAAACAGAACACTTAAAGGCAGAGAAGTTCCACTAATAGGATGATCACAGCCTTGGCTCCACTGCCCTGCAGTCTTACTTCTGTTCTCTATACTCTGACTTTGACATCATGCTGGTCACACAATTCCAAGTGTTCACCCAGACAGGATAGGATAAAGTAAAAGCAGGAAAAGTCAGTCTATTCTACTGGGTCTTGGGGGTCTTCCCAGAGGATCCCATTCCTTTCAGGTCCATTTTCTAGAACTGAGCCTAGTTCAGGTGCTGCCTGAGTCATTTACCTAAAGAAGACCACGGGATGGGTGTGAACTGATCACCCACTTTTATATTTGGCATTTTAAAGAGTTAAATATGGTTCTGGGTATTTTGTTTTTGTTACTGTAAATGAGGTGGTAACTATTCATTTTTAAAATATTTTTTGTTATATATGTAAGGCTGCTTTCTGTGCATTATTTTTAAAATATCCAACTACCTCACTGAATTGACTTATTTTCCTATTGGTTTCCTGGTATATTTTCTTGGATTTTACATATTTGCAATACAGGTTGAGCATCCGTCATCCAAAAAGCTCCAAAATTCAAAACTTTCACTGCACTATGGATTTCTTTGCAAGTCTAGCTAATCCTATACACATGTTAATATAAATTTCTTTTTTTTTTTTTTTTTCTTTTTAAAGACGGGGTCTCACCATGTTGGTCAGGCTGGTCTTGAACTCCAGACCTCAGGTGATCCACCCGCCTTGGCCTCCGAAGTGCTTGGATTATAGGCGTGAGCCACCACGCCCAGCCCATTAATATAAATTTCTAAATGCATTCAATAAAATATAAATTTAGTACTATTAATAAAATACCAGATTGAAAGAGTTTTCAAAATATTTTTTAAAATGTGTGATATAGTAATATTTGTGCTTCAAATAAGATCTAAAACGGTAAATTTTAGTGCATACATTAGGGAAAACAGTACAGAATTTCCTCAAAAAATTAAAAATAGAATTACCATATAATCCAGCAGTCCTACTAGGTATATATTGAAAGAAAATAAAATCAGTTTCTCAAAGAGATATATCTACTCTCATATTCATTGCAGAATTATTCTCAATAGACAAGATATAGAAAGAATCTAAATGTCCATCAGCAGATGAATGGATAAAGAAAATGTGGCATATATGTATAATAGAAGACTATTCAGTCTTACAAAAGAAAAAGAATCCTGCCATTTGCAGGAACATGAATGAACCTGGAGGTTAAGTGAAATGAGTGAGGCACAGAAAGACAAATACTGTATGATCTCATAAGTGGAATTTTAAAAAGTTGAACTCTTAGAATTAGAGTGCAGAGTGGTGGTTACCAGGGGCTGCAGTTGGGGAGGAGTGGGACGATATTGGTCAAAGGTTATGAAATTTCACTTAGGGGTAGTAAGTTCAAGAGCTCTATTGTACAACATGGTGATTATAGTTGGTAACAATATATTGTATCCTTGAAAATTATAAAGAGTAGATTTTAAGTGTTTTCATAACAAGTATGTGGGGTAATGCATATGTTAATTAGATTGATTTAACCATTCCAGAATGTATACATATTTCAAAACATGTTGTACAGAGTACATAATTTTTGTCACCTTAAAAAATGAAAATAGTTGGGTGGAGAGTGAATTTTAGGGAGGCAAGATTAAGAGCAGCAATACTGATTAGAAACTGTAATCCAGGTGAGACATCATGAGTATGCAGACACAAATGGTAGCAGTGGAGACGGTGAATAATCAGACAACAGAAACATGTAGGAAGTAAAATTACCATATCTTGAGAGATTGAAGTGGATGGAGGTTAGACTGTCGGCGAAAAAATACATTTCGGGCTTGGACAACCATGTGAATAGGGTGGTACTCATGGATATATGGAACACAGTTCAGGAACATTTCTGTTGGGATTGACTGGAAATCCCTGGGGAGAGAATTCTTAAATGGCTAAGCAAGATAAGAACTGTTACATTGAATAAACAGTTGACTTTTCTGGAGTTCACAAGAGATGCAGAAGCCTTGGGCTTTGGACCTCAAATCCTGGCAGTTCAAGGGCAGTTAGCTTGATCACTTTTTTAGAATATGTGAGAAAAGAAGGAGCCTGAAAAGCATGAGATGCTGCAAAGAGAACTATTCCGTTTACATCTACAAGGTGCTGAAACAGATCCTTCCGGACTTGGTGGACGTTATGCACACACTATGGCCAAAGTCAAGAGAAAGCAAAGAGCCTAATGCTCAATGCCAGACTTTCCTAAGTGGGGAGCTCCAGGCCTCTTTTGTTGTCATCATACAGGGTTTGAAACAGAAAATGTTGTAGACAAAAAGGCCTTATTTCCCCATAGCAGTGTCTACAGGAAGAATATCCCCATGAACCCAGGGTTATGGGAGCCCCCTTTGAATTGCTTCAGCTGTGAGACTAGCTTTCACCAAAACTGCTGCAGGTAGTTAATGCTAAGTTTAGAATTAAAGATTACGGTGTTGCCTAATCTATCAGTCTGGCAATGAGGTATACTCATAAAACAGCCTACAGCCCTATTAGAAACTTATCAGTGGCTCTTAAAAGAGCCTTTGGTTTATGGAGCTCATCTGCTGGTTAGATCATGTTTTACTTGGAGCTGGTGTACTTGGTGACTGCCTTTGTGCCCTCTGACACCGCGTGTTTGGCTAGTTCCCCAGGCAGCAGCAGGCGCACGGCCGTCTGCATCTCCCTGGAGGTGATGGTTGAGCGCTTGTCATAATGCGCCAGGCGGGAAGCCTCATTGGCAATGCGCTCAAAATTGTCAGTAACAAAAGAATTCATAATACTCATAGCCTTGGAAGAGATTCCAGTGTCGGGGTGAACCTGCTTCAGTACCTTGTAGATGTAAATAGAATAGTTGTCTCTGCGGCTTTTCTTGCGCTTTTTGCCTTCCTCATTTTGAGTTTTAGCCACGGCCTTCTTGAAGCCCTTTTTGGAAATGGTAGTGCCCTTTGAAGTAAGCTCTGGCATGTTCATTTTACAAGTTCTCTGGGAGATCAGTAACTGACGTTTGACACGAGCGAAGTGTGGTATTTATAGGCATGGCCCTCAACTACGTCATTTGCATCCAACATCTGATTGGATAATAGAGAATGTACTTAAATGACGCCATAGCAGTAAGGTTCTGTGATTGGATACAGGGCTATCAGCCAATCAATCAGATAATAAGCCACAATCTGCCATCAGACTAGAAATACGTTGAGGACCCGTTTTAACAGCTTTTTCCGTTGTAAGTTTTATTTTTGAGCTATGTCTTAGACGAGGGGAGCTGGAGGGAAAGGCACGCACTGTAGCTAAATCCCGTTCAGAGAGGGCCTACAGTTCCCCGTGGGCGGTGTCCACCGGCTGCTCAGCAAGGGCAACCATGCCGAGTGGGTCGGGGCCGGCGCGCAGATGTACCCAGCAGCGGTGCTGGAGTACCTGGTAGCCGACATCCTAGAGTTGGCAGGCAACGCGGTCCTCCACAAGAAGACCCGCATCCTCCCTCGCCAGCCTCAGCTGGTCATCCGCAACGACTAGGAGCTCAACAAGCGTCTGGGCCGAGTGACGACGGCTTAGGGTGGCGTTTTGCTCAACATCCAGGCTGTGCTGCTGTCCCAGAAGGTTGGGAGCCACTACCACAAAGACAAGTGTGAGTAACTACGCAAGTTGTAAAGGCCAGCGAGTGGTTTGAATGTCTCATGTCTAGAGGAAAAAAAAAAAGCCCAAAGCTGAAATCAAAGGCTCTTTTCAGAGCCACTCAATTTCTGAGAAAGAGCTAGCTTACAAAGGGATTACAAAATGCTGTTTCTCCAATAATAAACTTAATTAACTTCAGCTTTCCTAAACAGGACTCAGCAATTCTGGTTATTGGAGTATCCGAAGTAGTTTCCTTTAAGGCTCAGTAGTATTGAATGTGGAACTTGATGTTTTTGGGTGGAATTGTTTCAGCACCTACTTCAGGCAGGCAGGGCAATCATCTTAGCAGGCTCCTGGAAGGGGAAATGCCAGCTTTCTTGGGAAAATGAACAAATTAGGACATTATTGTGACAACCTATGTAATTCCTGAGAAAAATAATGTGAAGATGGAAAATCTTATTTCCGGGGTTGTATTTTAGTTAGGGTGTCAAATTAGAGTAAAAGAAGCAAAGGAAGATTTGTAAACTTGCTGCTTTCAGCACGACTCTTGCTGGGAGAGAATGCCTGTAATAACATCAGTCAAGGAATGGGCATATCTAAACATATTCCTAGGCTATATGTTTTCTTCTACCAAAGAATTTCCTTCCAGGAATTCTAGGATGGTTGTATGTCTAGAAGACCGTAGCCATGATAAAAGGTACATACAGATACTTGATACCTTATTTATGTTAAAGTGTTTAATACGCTATATTAAAGCTTATAATGTTTATAACTCACACACTAAGATACAAACCTATAAGTAGGCTTTGGTTTGAAATATAAAGGACACATTATGATGTAAATACTTAAGTTTGTGAGTATAAAGATATAAATATTAATTTTTTAGTATGTGGGTTATATCTCAAACCAAAGCCTAATACCGTGTGTGTGTGTGTGTGTGTGTGTGTGTGTGTGTGTGTGTGTGTCAGAGTCTTGCCCTGTCACCCAGGCTGGAGTGCAGTGGCACAATCTCGGCTCGCTGCAACTTCTGTCTCCTTGGATCAAGTAATTCTCCTGCCTCAGCCTCCCTAGTAGCTGGGATTACAGGTGCCCACCACCACACCAGGCTAATTTTTGTATTTTCAGTAGAGACGGGGTTTTGCCATGTTGGCCAAGCTGGTTTTGAACTCCTGATCTCAGGTGATCTGCCTGCCTCGGGGTCCCAAAGCACTGGGATAATAGGTGTGAATCACCGCACCTGGCCTCATATCATTTTGATGGTGAAATACAGAGTACTGTGACAAGGTACCTTTCTTTCATCAATTATTCAGAAGTAGTAAGCACTGAATTCTAACCATTGAATATGAATTAAAATATCTTGTTGCTCCTTTAGTATACTGCCTGTTAGTACATACCCACAGTACAATGAAAAATAGTAAAGCAGCCAAATACAAAATTACAGTACAAAAATGAACTTGCCAAAATTCTCCAAACACAAAGCAAACCCAAAATCTGCACATTTATAGCTACAAAAATCCATTTAAAATCCACAAAGTTAAAAAAAAATTTTTTTTAAGACAGAGTTTCATTTTTGTGCAATGGCACCTTCTCGGCTCACTGCAACCTCCACCTCTCAGGTTCAAGCGATTCTCCTGCCTCAGCCTCCCAAGTAGCTGAGATTACAGGTGCCTGCCACCACACCCAGCTAATTTTGTATTTTTAGTAGAGATGGGGTTTCACCATGTTGGTCAGGCTGATCTGGAACTCCTGATCTCAGGTGATTTGCCCGCCTGGGGCTCCCAAAGTGCTGGGATTACAAGTGTGAGCCTCTTCCCCCAGCCAAAAATTATTTTCTTCATAATGCTTGTGTCCAGAAAATTATTACCTAAACCTATAGAATTAAATAGATAGAAGAGCCATTTGTTGAAAACAATTATTAAACTTCCTGGGAACTTAATTTAGATAGAAATATATACGGATTGTTTTAAGGTTTCAAGGGCATAGTTTAAAAAAACCTATGTTAAGGCCGGGCGCGGTGGCTCAAGGCTGTAATCCCAGCACTTTGGGAGGCCGAGGCGGGTGGATCACGAGGTCAAGAGATCGAGACCATCCTGGTCAACACGGTGAAACCCCCGTCTCTACTAAAACTGCAAAAAATTAGTTGGGCATGGTGGCGCGTGCCTGTAATCCCAGCTACTCAGGAGGCTGAGGCAGGAGAATTGCCTGAACCCAGGAGGCGGAGGTTGCGGTGAGCCGAGATCGCACCATTGCACTCCGGCCTGGGTAACAAGAGCGAAACTCTGTCTCAAAAAAAAAAAACCAAAACAAAAAAAAAACCTATGTTAACATATTTGAAAATATTGAAAAAGTGTAAGCGTTTCTGTAAAAATAGAAAGTGCTTAAATTAAACCTAGAAAACAGTGAGTACTAAGATACATGGGGGAAAAAAATGAGGTCACCAGTGAGCTAACATCTTCAAATATCAGCTTCTTTTTAGACATTTAAGAAAAAGATAAATCTATAGCTAATGAAATGGTTTCAAATTATTACAGAAATCTTTTTTTAATATTTAAGAAAATATATTCTTTATAAATTTTATGTATTTACTATATTTAAGTTCTGGGGTACGTGTGCAGAACGTGCGTGTTTGTTACATAGGTATACACGTGCCATGGTGGTTTGCTGCATCCATCCCCTGTCATCTACATTAGATGTTTCTCCTAATGCTATCCTTTCCCAACCCCCCCATCCCCTGCTATCCCTCCCCTACCTCTCCACCCCTCGGCAGGCTCTGGTGTGTGATGCTCCCCTCCCTGTGTCCATGCTCTCATTATTCAGCACCCACTTATACTACTAAGTTCAGCACATTCTCAGTTATAGGAAATTATACACACATCTTCCATTAAATATGAACAACCAACTCTGGTAGCCAATTAAAAAGTCAAAAATGATAAACCAGGATCCATCTATGAGTGGAGTAACATGCAAACCTATTGACTAAAGGAAAAATAAGTCTTAATGGAGTAGATGCTTAAAAGGCATTTGTTCATATGTTTTGATGGATAATCTTTGTTTCTTAGTGGAACACTAGTAGTTATTGTTAGAGAACTTTTAAAATCACTGTTATTTAATAATGTTCTTGATGATTAGACAAATCTTGAAAAAGTTCTTGATGATTAGACAAATCTTTAAAAAGTGTATTAAAGGCTGGGCGTGGTGTCTCGCACCTGTAATCCCAGCAATTGGGGAGCCGAGGAGGGCAGATCATGAGGTCAGTAGATGGAGACCATCCTGGCCAGCATGGTGAAACACTGTCTCTACTAAAAATACAAAAATTAGCCGTGCGTGGTGGTATTTTCCTATAGTCCCAGCTACTCAAGAGGCTGAGGCAGGAGAATCACTTGAAGCAGAGGTTGCACTGAGCTGAGATTGTGCCACTGCACCCTAGCCTGGTGACAGAGTGAGACTCCATCTCAAAAATAAAGTGGGGGGACAGGATAGTAAAAAGATTCTCCTACACTAGTAGAAAGAAAATAAAATCAGTTGTAAGTAACGTCTGCAGGATAATGCCATAATTAACTGAAAAATAATTATATTGGAAATCAACAGTTCTCAGAGCCATCCACCCTTTCAGGGAAGGAGCTATAAGTTTCAAAACATATCATTTCAGTAACTCATTTATGTTCAGTATAGTACTTGCAGCTGATTCAAAATGATGGCATTAATCTGTCATCCTCAGTTCATGAAAACTGTATTATATGAGAACGGGTTTTAATAAGTGAAACAGAACATTTTTGGTGTTAGCTGTTTTTAATTTGCAAATTCAGAAAGCCATAGTAAACATTTACTAAAGGAAATGACAATATTCTACAGTGATTATACTGTGGAAGGGAGGGGAATGTAGGGGGATAAAAGACAAATGAAATTGAGAGTGAGGAAGGACACTTAATCTTTGTGTTAAAATCCAGAAGGGAAATAAGTACATCTGATTACTCTCTAAAGTGGGTGAATGAGGAGCAGAGGAATTAAGTGAGCAATGAGGCTCTAATGCAGTCTGTTCTGCAAAAGATCAAACAACGGACCCGTCTTACTGCTGTAACATATTACAAATGCCTAATCTGGAAACATCAGCATTGACAGAATTCAAGTACCCCAACTGTACGGTAGAGCTAAAAGCTTTTTCACTTTTTTTTTTTTTTTTTTTTTTTTTTTTACTACATCAAACATTAAGAAATACCTTTTATTGCATGACCAAAGTCACAGTTAGGGAAACATGCATACACCAAGAGCTAAAACAAAAGTTTCCAAGAACAATATGCTATGGTGGAAGCATTCTGAGATTACTTTCTGAATTATTGTGTTGTATTCTGTGGTTTTCTTGTGTGTTCT